ACGATCGGGCCCAGGCTTGTCCAGAGGGCAGCAGTCTTTTACAGGAAGGAAAATTCATGTCTGATTCACAAATGGGTTAGCTTGCTGTGTGGATATGAGCTGAAAACAAACCACTGCTGCCCTGAAGTCCCATTCAGGGTGGGGGTGGCTCTGAAAGACAGTAATGAGGGGAAGTTCTCCCGGGCAGAGCTTCAAGCAGACACTTGGATGTCCACTTTGTAGGGAGGAAGCGGAGTGGACAGAGTAGTGGTGGGCTTCTGGGTCCTGATAGATGTCTTGCTGGTTGGTCAGGGAACTAGAAAGAGCAAGAGGGACTTTGGAGACAAGGAGGGCTGGAGAAGAAGATGGACCTATGGGAGTGGTCACAAGTGGATGCATTTTTGTGCCTCATGTTATACCCACTGCAGAGGGGTCACTCAACAACAAAGTGGACGGGCAGATGTCCAAGCTTCTGCCCTTGGCTACCCCATGCTTGTGCGGTGGGCCTGTGAATGGAGTTGCCAAGGTGGCAGAGGTGCTGGGTATGTCCACCAAAATGGGCTCTCTCTTATCAAGGTTCATCTAATTATTCCTGCTGCTGGATTTCTGACCTGTTAGCAGCCAAGCTCAGTGCTGAGCTCCTGATATGGTACCATCCTTAGATGACTTGCTGACCCGTGATTCCACCCAGGAATCAACACCTCTGGGTGTGGGTTAGCCTTTCCCTCTCACAGTGTCTCAGAGTGGCATCACATTGCAGGAGCTTAGAGAGTACACAATTTACCAGCATGGAATCGTATATAACATCACCTTGGGCCCAGAAACTCATTGTACAGTGAAAGGTATACAATGTGTGGATTGCCACAGGATCCCATGCTTCTCCAACCTTCTGTGTTGTCTCCAAGCAGCCAGTCTCATAGGAAGATGGAATGATCTCTTAAAGACTTAGCTAAGGCCCAGCTGGTTTGGGTAAGTGGATAGAGCATCGGCCTGCGGACTGAAGGATCTAGGGTTTGATTCTGGTCAAGGGCACATGCCTGGGTTATGCGCTCAATCCCCAGTGGGGGGCATGTAGAAGGCAGCCAATCAATGATTCTCATCATCGATGCTTCTACCTCTCTCTCCCACTCCCTTCCTCTCTAAAATCAATAAAAATATATTAAAAAGACTTAGCTAAGGAGCCAGTTCTTGGACAGTGTCCTGAGGAGCTGGGGTATGTACACTTGCGTCAAAGCCCAGTGTATGGATCTGTGTTCCCAGTAGATATAATATGTGAATCCAGAAACAGAGATACGGCCAAGTAGTAGGGGTTGGGATGAGCTGTCTCTCACCATTATTCTTGATGGCCCACTTGTAGAATTTGTATGTTCTGTCTCTGCAAGAGTGAGCTCTGCTGGATTACAGCCCCTGGGTCCCGGGTAGGGAGCACTTCCACAGGGCACCTCCCCTGGTTCCAGAGAAGGACACCTACACTGAATCTGAGTCCTTGAAATCCACCAGGTCACTGAGCTCCTCATGCTGGTGCACCAGCAGGCAAAGGAGAGGTTATTGTTCCTGATTATTTTTGAGGAGATAGGGTTGCTGCTACTCAATGGGCAATGAGGAGTTGGTTTGGCACTGGCACGATGCACCTGAGTCTGCCTGGTTGCTTCCACACCAAGTGAGAACAGTGACGCAGTTAGGGCCAACCTAGATAACCCAGGATAATCTCTTCATCTCAAAACCCTTCGTCACTTCTGAAAAGATCCTGTTCCCAAATAAGGTGACATTTACAGGATCTAGGGATTAGGACATGGGTATCTTTTGGGGGATCATTTTTTCAACCACCACCATCACGAATTCTTTCCCTCACAGCTTTCAGCTCATCACCCCATTTTGTCCTTGAATATTGCAGTTGAAAATTTCTGAATCCAGCCTAATTTTTCTCCCTTGAACGTGATTTGTTTTTTCTGCCTGAATACTTGAAGTATGGTGTATTCAAGGGGGAATGATTTATTTATTCATTTAAATGATAATAAACCCTTACATGTTAACATAATTTATATTTATAAAAACTTTTATAAAATAAAAATTTCATGAGAAGAGTGGCCTTGTTTTTACATTTTTTCAAGTTTTGTTAATATATGGCTTAGTTGAAGATAACAGGTTCCCCATAATTGTCTCTACAGTCAGTCCCTTACAATATGTTGTTTTGGTTCAAATATATGAAGAAAATTCAGCCTAACATAAATTTACAGTTGATAACTTTTCCAAAGCTTTTTCAGATAACTGTGCATCTTTGTTAATACTACACACCAAGACCGGACAAAAAGTAGTTACTCAGGTAAGTTGCAATTTGGAATTTGAAACCATATCAATGAACCGTTTTGTCCTCTTACATTAAAATCCGTTGGCCTGCCTTGCATGCTGAATGAGTCTTTCACTCATGCATAATTTTGAAACATCATGCCTTCCTGGGTCATTTGGAAAATATTGATTCATGGAGTTATGTAGATCTTCCAAATTTTGACACATTTTATTATATAATGTCACTTGTTAACATACCACCACTCTCATCGGAAAAATATTTAAATATTGAGAAACTTTAAGCTCATAGTGATGACACAGATTTTCCAAAATTCTAGTTTTTGTTTCAAAACTCAAATTGTATCATTGGCAACAAATACTATTGTTTTCCTTGAAGTGCCGCATTCACTTTATTTTTGAGGGAGTTTCTGTCAAATAGCCAAGTCAGAATAACTGTAGTTTGTCAACTTTCAAGTGAAAATAGTGTTTTATGAAAAAAGTGGCTAGTTCAGCTGCCAGTTTTGACAACTGTGTAATCAGTTGCAATAGCCATTGTACTTCTGTATGCGGTGCTTTACATCATTACCCTGAATATTAAGAATTACCTGTTAAGATTTAATAATTTTTATGGCTTCATCAAGGAAATTATTAAGTGAAAGTGCTTCCTCCCCTCCCCCCATGAGCATGTGGCAGGGAAAGAATTTGATGGTTACTAGTAGGAGGAGCCAGCAGTTTTCCCCACCATTGCTTTTGCTCCATCGACACAAATGACAGCACAGTGGCAGACAAAATTATGACAAAATAATTTTGACCTTGCTGATGTTGGGAGACTCCAGGAATCTGCAGACCATATTTTGAGAACCACTGCTATAGTATATCATAGGGATCATAAGATACGTGTATTTTCAATTTTACTAATGTTACTAAATTTCTCTCCAAACTGGTTATCCTGAATTATATTCTGTAGCAATTAGGACAATATTTGCCATGAATCACAAAGATGCTGAATAACTGAATTTTATGGTAAAAGGACATTTTAGTGATGTGGTATGTGGTTGGACACATAGAATACACTAAGTGTGGTCCCTGGAATTGCTCAGTGAACAACCTTTACAGTTGAATGCAGTTTACATAGGCATGCTTATTTATCTTCTGTACCAGTTTAGAGAAAGCCAGTCCTGGGCTTAAATGTTGGCCATATTACATGAATCTTAAGGATCCAGGTTCCCTTTGTCTTGTTCTGCCCTTATGTCTCTCATTCCCAAGATGACTGTTCGATCAAGTGCTTCCAATTTGTAGCCAGCAGGGGTAAGGGGTGGGCTGAATACAAAGATCAGGACCTCTCCCTGGTCAGGCCGACCACTATCACTACCAATTCCGTGCATCTTTGGGAGGGACTGGGAAACTGGAGAAGCCATCCTCACCAAACATTCCTCAGTCTGATATTTCCTGGAATACTTTGCTGGGGTGTTCCCTTTACACTTACCACAGTGAACAGAAAATCCTCTGGGATTCATATGTAAGGGAGCTAATTAATACAAAGGCTCCAGTCCAGGCCTGTTTGGGACTATGACACTAGCCAGTGAGAAGATTTGTGTGAAAATGCCAATTTTGTTCTGTATTTATTATTTCAACTTCAATTCATTGTCCCACTCTTTGAGAGAGGGAGACAGAGATGGAGAGAGAGAAAGAGAGAGAGAGAGAGAGAGAGAGAGAGAGAGAGAGAGAGAGAGAGAGATGTGAGAGAGAAACACATGCCCCACATGCCCCAACCAGGCCAGATTGAACCTGCAACCCAGGTATGTGCCCTTGACTGAGAATGGAACCTGAAACCCTTCAGTACATGGCCTAACACTTCAGCCACTGAGCCACACCAGCCAGGGCTGCCTAACCTGCCTTTACCAACCGTCTTCCTAGCCATGATCTACCGTCCCCTCACTCCAACGCCAGATGACGCTGACCAAATCTAACTCTTGAGCTCAATTTCAGATTTTGCTCTTCTCACACAGCTTGAACCCTAAACAATGCCAGTCACATAGTTGGAGCTCAAGAAAAATCTTTCCAATTGAATGAGCACAGCTTCCGGGATAGAACTTCACCCAGTGCCCATCGATACCTCTCTCCACTCGCATGGCCTGCAATAGACACTGAAAGTTCAGTGTCAGCCCCAGTCAGCAACCTCTTTGTGGTCCACTCTGAGTCCAGCCCGGATCAGCATCCTCCGCAGAGGTCTCTGTTCTCTCCCAGCCAGCACCCAAGGCTGGACAGCTCCTCCAGCCAGATCAGCACCCAAAGGCGGACAGCTCCTCTGGGCTCGATCAGCACCCAAAAGCGGACAGCTCCCCAGGCCGCATCGGCACCCAACACCCAAAAGCCAACGGCTTCGCCAGCCCCTTTCAACGCGCCGCCCAGCTTGGGACCCCCAACTCTTCTGTTCTGGTTCCTGGAGACGTCGGTGCAGCTGCTGGGGCGCATCGACGCCACGAACCCCCCCAAACCCCAGTGAACCCGACAGAGGTCTGCGAACCGGGCCGCCGCCTTCCCCGACTTCCCCGCCCGCAGGATCGTCGCTGCGGGCGGTCCCTCTCGCCTGTCCCCACCCGCAGACCCTCCTGCACCGGAACCCGATCGCCCGTCTCCGCCAATCCGCTTCTCACCCGCCCCCGCCCCAAACAAACACGCGCTCGGTCCTTCCCCAACCAGAGCCTCGCGTCAAACCGTCGCCGCTCGGTCATGGTGGCCGCCACCTGATGTAACAGTGCTTGGACTCTCAACGGTAAAGCGGTAGAAGTCCATTGGGGCCGGAAGCCCCTCACTAAAGTCACAAAACGGCGGTCTCTCCGGGGTGTCCCCCGGAGAGCCGGTCCGAAAGGGCTGGTCTGGGGGCTCGCCGTGGGAGCACCAGGTGCGAGGGTCCAGCTGCCCGTTGAGCTGGTCGATGACTTTACTCAGGGGCTGCCCCACACGCTCCATAGAGGTGTCCTTCATTTCAGGGATGAGCAGGCCCATCTGGCTGGGCTCTGAGCGCTCGCTGCTCTCAGCGGCGCTGCTGGGCCCCTCTCCCTTCTCCTGGGGGGAAGCCAAGGTGGTGTCTGGTGAGCCCCGCCCAAGGCCTGGGCTGCTGACCTCGCCGCCCTCTGTGCGGGGTCTCCCCGTGTCTGTCCTTCCCTCCTTCACCCCCTCCGGCCCCAGCGACCACCCTCCGCTGTGTGTCTCCCCGACTCCCCCTTGCTCAGCCCCCCCTTCCCCTGCGGGCTCGCTCCCTGGCGGAGGGTGCAGGCCCTGGCGCAGCTTCCGGGGGCGGCCTGGCCAGGAGGGAGCCGTCTTCCGCGCGAGTGTCCGTCCTTTCGGCCTTGCTGGGCCTCTCTTCAGGGGAGGCCGGGCCTGGCTTGCGGGGCTCAGGGAAGGGGAGCTGAAATCGAACCTGGCCCTGGGGGAAGGGACCACGGAGGGAGAGGGCCTGCCGGGCAGGAGAGGAGAGACAAAGTGGCCAGACTGGCTCCTGGAACAGGGCGACCCCTCCCTCTGCTTCTGCGGCTGCAGCCTCAGCTCCCCTCCCCCCTCTGCTCAGCCTAACTCCCCTGACGCTCCGCATCCATCCAGAGGGGCCTGGGCTGAGCCCACAGAGGAGGACTGGGAGGAGGGCAGAGGGACAAGTGGCCCCTCTGGGCTGGTCATGGCTCAGATAGGGGGGAATCCCCTGGAGAACAGAGATTGGGTTTCACAATGATAGCAGGACGTGGATCTGGAAGTTGGGGGCTGTGGAGACCCTGGGGTCTAGGAGCTGGGTTTCCCATGGCCCCTCCTGGGACCGGCTCCCAGGCAGGGCACCCAGGGTTGCCAGCTCTCCCGGGAGCCCTGTCCTTGTTCTCTGACCGAGTCTCCTCTTCAGGCCTCCTCAGGACATAAGCCTGGAAGAATTTGACGATGAAGACCTGTCTGAGATCACCGATGACTGTGGCCTGGGCCTCAGCTATGACTCGGACCACTGCGAGAAGGTAGGGAGGGACGGGAGCTTAAACCCTCTCCGGGGAGCCTCACGCAGGCCCCGCTTAGGTTTCACTTGGGGTTTTAGGGTAGGTCTGCACTCAGCCTTGAAGCAAGAGATCCCCTGGTTCCTCCTTCCTTTGGGCCTTTGTCCTGGGAACTTCCTGGAAGTCACATCTCTTTCTCTAACAGACTGCAGGCCCTGCTCCGGGGTCTTCCCCAGTGGTCCTCCCTTGACCCCCGTCCGTGGACTAGCTTGGGGGAACAGATATGCCCATGCTTCAGGTGCCCTCTGTGCCCAGAGGGCTTCCCAGAAAGATCTACCTCCTTCCAGCTCACCTGTCTCCTTCCCAGCCCCATCCCTACCTGCATCTCTCTGCCTCATGTCTCCACCTGAAACCTCCTCCCCTATCTCCTTCCTTTCTTTCTCCTCCTCCTGTCTCTCCATGTTCTGTTTTCATTCATTCAAGAACAGTTCTGAGCAACTACCATGTGGCAGCTGCCAGGTGCCTCCAGGTGCCTGAGGGAACAGGACAGGTGTGGCCCATGCCCACAGGAGTTATAACCTTGTGGGGGAGAAAGACATGTCAGAGCCATGGCTCCTGAGTGTCAGGGGCAGGGTTCCACTTGAGGACACAGTGAGGGGGAAGAGAACCCCACCGAGACTTTCCAGTGGCCATGGCCCAGGAGCATGCCCAAGGGAGGGCGGGCAGGAGCTGGGCTGATGAGGAGGTGGGAGGGAATGGAAGAGAGAGCTGGCCCCAGGGATTAACTGTCGGAGGCCCTGAGGTTGGTGCAAGCTTGGTGGATCCTGGTGCCAGCTGTCTCTTCCTTCCTGCGTTTGTCTGATATTTACTGAGTCTCAGCTGTGGGCAGGTCCTGTTCTGGGGTGTGGGGTATACCAGTGCTCAGTATGGACATTCTGCCCTGGTGGGGCCAGCAGCTTGGTGGGGAAGACAGGCCAAATGTTGTCTAATAATTGTGAATTGTAGTCAGATTGCTCTGCAGAGAAGAGTGGTGGTGTTGAAGGTGATGGGGTTGGGTGGCAGCTGGGTTGGGGCCACTCTGAGGCTCTCCGTCAATGCAGGCTTAATCGTCTGGGCTCTGACCAAGAACCAGAGCGATCCTGACGTGTCTCAAGCAGATTAAAAAAACAAACAAAAAGCCCACAAAAACTGCTCTGTTGGGGAGCAGAGACCTGGAGGTTTCTTTTCCTTGACTTATAGCTTCCTGCCTTCTCCTTTTCTTCTTTTTTAAAAAAATATACTTTTATTGATTTCAGAGAGGAAGGGAGAGGGAGAGATAGAAACATCAATGATGAGAATCACCGGTGGGCTGCCTCCTGCACGCCCCCTACTGGGGATCGAGCCCACAACCCCAGGCATGTGCCCTGACAGGGAATTGAATGGTGATCTCCTGGTTCATAGGTTGATGCTCAACCACTGAGCCACACCGGCTAGGGCCTGCCTTTCCCTTTTCTGACACCCGGGACCCCAAGCCACTGTCCCACACTCACCCAGCTCTGCCCTGTCCCTCCTTCCTGCAGGACAGCCTGTCTCTGGGGCGCTCGGAGCAGCCGCACCCCATCTGCTCCTTCCAGGATGACTTCCAGGAGTTTGAGATGATCGATGACAATGAAGAGGAGGAGGAGGAGGAGGAGGAAGAGGATGAGGAAGAAGAGGAGAAAGAAGGAGAGGACAAGGAGGGGGGAAGACCTGGCTCAGAAGCCGGAACTCTGGAGCTGCTGATCCCCTCCCCATCCCGGGAGGAGCCTCACAAGCACAGGCCCACCACACTCCACCTGACTCCCCTGGGAGCCCAGGTGAGTGCCCAGGCCCGCCATCCCGGACTCGCTGCCATGGCAGCCTGTGGCTCCTCCCCCCACCTCACCTCCAGCTGGAGCCCCTCCTGAGAGCCTCTTCTGTCGCCCCTGCAGGACTCCCTGAACAACAATGGGGGCTTCGTCCCAGTGCCCCCCGCCTCCTGGCAGGAGACAGTGCTGTGCTCACCCCCGCAGGAGCCACTTCAAGGTGAGCAGGACTGTGGAGGCCCAGGAGGCAGGGAGGGAGGAGCGGAAGCCGGTGAGCCTGCTGACCGAGGCCCCTCCCGCCCCCGCAGAGCCGCCTGCCCCGCACCCGGCCACCGCCGCCCGTCCCCACGGGGCGCAGTCACCTGTGGGCCCAGGTTGTGACTGTGAAGGGAACCGGCCCCCGGGCCCCGCAGCGCCCAATGAGGCCTCGCCCTCCTCGGACCCGGGCATTGAGGTTGACCTGGGCAGCGGCACCAGCGGGGAGCGCGGCCGGCGAAGCAGCCAGGAGCTGTCCTCGCCGGGCTCCGACTCGGAGGCGGGCGCCGCGCACTTGGGGCGCATGATCTCGTCCATCTCGGAGACCGAGCTGGAGCTGAGCAGCAGCAGCGGCCGCTCCTCGCACCTCACCAACTCCATCGAGGAGGCGTCCTCGCCTGCCTCGGAGCCCGAGCCCGAGCCCGAGGCCGAGCCCTTGCCCCCGCGCCGCCCCGCCTTCCTGCCCGTGGGCCCCGAGGACACCAACAGCGAGTACGAGTCCGGCTCCGAGTCCGAGCCGGACCTCAGCGAGGACGCCGACTCGCCCTGGCTGCTCAGCAACCTCGTGAGTCGCATGATCTCCGAGGGCTCCTCACCCATCCTCTGCCCCGGCCAGTGCC